ACCCTCGGAAACCCTGTACAGGGTCGCTATGGGTCGGAACCGACTCGATGGCACTTAACAACAACAACAACAACTTATATACAAAGAGAAGTTTATTGTCAAGGAAATGGCTTACAACAGCAGAGTTCCAAGTCCCCAGCGAAAGAGAGAGAGAGAGAGCCTTTCCTGCATTTCCATTACATCGGGAGCAGGCCATGCCCCCAAGGAAACATCCTTTCAGTTGATTGGCTGCTCATAGCCACTCATAGAGTTAGCTATGCCTGTATTAGGTTTCATCACCATAAGAACAAACACTCTTAACTGCTAAACCATGGGAATCCTAGCCTAGTCTAGTTGACACAGAACTCTTAACTTTAACATGTATATGGGTGCATTGTTGTTGTTAAGTACCGTGGAGTCAGTTCCAACTCATAGTGACCCTGCACAAGGTTTCCGAGGCTGTAAATCTTTACTGGAGCAGAATGCCTCATCTTTCTCCCGCGGAACCGCTGGTAGTTTTGAACTGCCGACCTTGAGGTTAGCAGCCCGATTTGTAACCACTACGCTACCAGAGCTCCTTATTTAGGTGCATAGGAGCTCCTCAGGTGCACACACACATACATACATATGTTGGTGCTGTTGTTAAGAGCCGTCGAATCGATTCCTACCCATAGCAACCCTATATAGGGTTTCTGAGGAGCAGCTGGTGAGCTTGAACTGCCGACCTTGCAATTCAAATGGCTTTGCAGTCTGGCGCATTAACCCACAGAGGCACACCAGGACTCCATATGCATATATACATTTGTATGTATATATATATGTTGTTAGGTGTCGTTAAGTTGTTTCCAACCCACAGCAACCCATGTACAACAGAACGAAACACTGCCCAGTCCTGTGCCATCCTCACAACTGTTGCTGTAATCTCTCTCTATATATAGATATAGAGAAATTTACTTCAAGGAAATGGCTCACATAGTTGTGGGGGCTGTCAAGTTTCAAATCCATGAGTCAAGTGGCAATCTGGAGGCCTCTGCAGGCTCACA